TCCTCTTTGATGTATAGATCCTCTAGTTTGTGTCCCTTTCTTGGCAAAGTCTAATTCGGCAATTTTGTGTAAAATCTCGTTTTGTGCCAGTACCCTGTCTCCTGAAAAAACCTTCCCCTTAAGCTAAACAAGCAAATGGGATCTTAGTACAAGGCCGCACAACTCAGTGGCATCTGAAAAAGGCGGTTCATCAATCACAGGGAACCCATTGTGCCCTGTGCTTCTCAGAGCATGTAATATGTTTCCCACCCTTCGACACCGGAAAAGGTGATCAAAGGACCAATAACAACGTCCCACGCAACTAAATGTTTCATGTAATGTTCCGGATGAGCCTCCATGTATGGCAATCCTTTAAGTTTTACAATTTGGTCATAGACGCCCTTGTTGAACATGTCACCCATGGTTTTTGAGATGAGGAGAACCAACATGACAAGTGGAAGCACCAATAAATCATTAGTGAGCTCAAGCAGTACAACACATAGGGAAACTGTCATTCTCACAGTGCCACCAAGAAAAGAAGCAGCACCGAGGAGGGAAAAGAGACCAACATCAAGTTTAGAGATTGGTTCAAATAGTTACCAACGAGACGGCCGTAGCAACATCCAGCCTATATGGCAGGGATGAAGAGCCCCAAGGGGATAGCTATGCCATAAGTGATAATGCCAAGGAAGTAAACAGCACCAAAGAAGATGAAAAGAGAATAGAGGTGAAATACTTTTGCTGTATTGGTACTCAGTAGGTTACGAATAGCATTGTCATTTGTGTTTAGAAACAGTGAGGCCAGGTCATTGTAATGACCAGGTGGGCACGGGAGCTCTTGTAGTTGCCAGATACATCGGTGTTGGGGCAACTTGTAGATACAATGTCTGGGCAGGGGACGCACGTAGCTAACCATGGCAAGCCGTAAGAGCAGATTGATGTTAACAGGGAAATCATAATAACAAGTACGATCTTGACAGCAGCTCCTCTTCTGAGGAAACAGGGAATCACTAAGCTGTAGGATTTATTATCAGATGAAAACAAGGATAAAAACTGCTATTTGCAGAAGTTTTTATCAGTGTTAATCGAATCAGTGATAATTCACCAGTAAAGATCATTGAAGCAGACGTATTACTAACGATAGCGAAACCTATCAACTACTTATACATGGAAATTTCAAGATTCATGATTGAGTGTGTTACATACTCATTAATGATGCTGTAGGTGCGAAGAACCTTATCCACCAGGTAGTTATATAGGCTTCCTAGGAAGCCTCCAATAACCCCTAGAAGAATCACAGCCAGTGTATCTGGAGCACTATATACAACTTTGGCTGCACTGATATCATACATAATCAGTCCTTCCCCAAACAATCCACAATTTCCAGTAGAGCAGAGTTCTATGAAACCTCTCAAAGCTATAGCAACTACTGCAGTTGTGAAGAAGGTTCTCCAAAGAAGAGCACTCCTCCACAATTTCCAGTAGAGCAGAGTTCTATGAAACCTCTCAAAACTATAGCAACTACTGTAGTTGTGAAGAAGGTTCTCCAAAGAAGAGCACCCCACCTGTAGACAAGCAACGGAAAAAATATAGATCAGGAAATCAGGATGAAGTCATCAAATATTTCAGGCACTATTTCAAAGATCATTATGGTTACACACTTTCCAGTTTGCACCTGCACATAATGTCCCATACCAGACTACCAAACAATCAGCAAAATTACCACAATATGATGCTTTTTACCTCGTTTAGTAGAATGAGGTGTTTCAAGACTTTCCATTGAACAAATAAAATGAAAAATTTTACAGCCTCATTATCATGGTTTCTAGTAAATGTGATGGATTACCTGACAAGCCATGCATAAAAATCTACCAGCATTTAATAGTCTGCAAATCAAAACAAGGATAAAGGGAAAAGAAAGAATAACGGTGGGACTGTAACACAAAAGCCCATTTGTTCACGAACGAATATGGTGGCGGTGAAGGGGAAGGTACCATGAAGCTACCTCTTCAAGAGCAAAGAGGACACCACCAACTGGAGCACGAAAAGCAGCAGCCACACCAGCAGCGGCTCCACAAGTTATCAAGTCTCTCCTGTCTCGATCATTTTTGAAATATCTAAGCCATCTACAAGTCAAACCGTATTTACGTGAACCTCCTTGCCCAATTGAAGAAGCTATGCAAGAACCTGTGTGAACCATTGGCCCTTCTTTGCCAACAACAAATCCAGCAGCTACACCAAAAATTGAACAAAAAATCTGCCATATATAAAACAATAAAGTTAAAGTTATATTATCAACTAGAAAAACAGTTTCAATCACCAGACAATAACATAGAAGCGGTTTGCCCTGGCTTTCCTAGATTATATTTTTGTACGGAAATAGAAGCAAATGGAGTAAACAGACAAAAGAACCTTCTGAAATATTGATTTACACTAAAAAGGCTATTCACCTTTACAAAAAGAGTACTTGGAGCCAGTATTGAATAAGCATCCACACCATTGAGGTATGCTTTCACTTCAGGAATACCGAACCCGCCGCTGATGGAGCAATAAAAGCACAAATAACCTCAGCTGATCCTGCAAGGCCTAAATTGCAGCCAGCGTATGCTAGAAAAGCCTAGTAATATCTGCACTGAATCATTATCATGTCTAAGTTAATATAAGGGTTCTACGCCAAGAGCGCGCTTTGTTCCCTCGACAAATTTGGCTAAGCCAACAAGCGCAGGCGCTTGCCTTAAAATGTTACAGGCAATAGAATAGCTGGCTTACTTGTTCTTCACCATGAGCTCTGCGGTGAGCAGACTTGAACCCAGCAATATTCTGAACTGCTATATTGTTAAAAATGCCAACCAGGCAGTGCTTAGGCCTATAATGAGTGCAAATGCCCACTTCAGCAGAACATACTGAAATACTTGGATCTTCCTCCTCGACCGCCAGTCCTGGTTGACTAATTCATTTTCTGTAATCCTATTTACACACAACAGATATATGAGACAATGGCTTAGTTGCTCAGAGTTAATACTAAACGAGGGATAGACACAAAATTTTATTTTAGGGGTGAACTTATAAAATTTTAGATGACAGAAAACAAATCTTCAATAGAAAATACTCAAAAAAAAATCTAAATGATACGAGGAATTGAAATTTTCAATGAACGATTGCTTAGAAACTAAAATTATTAGAAACTAAACGAAGAAATTTCTGGGGGCAGGGTTTGCTTACTCATAATCAAGTCTCTCGACAGGGCAAACATTGGCGCCCACAATAGCTATCTGGGATGTGGTGTCACTCTCTTAATCAAAAGAGGCCTACTGTAATTCCTCTCCCCAACTTCGCTTTCAATGTCAATCTCGACATCCACAATACCATCACTATTATACATAATAACTTTTGTGAGTTTGAACCTTTTCGGGTTCTCACTCGGTGGCTCGATGTCAGCCTCGCTCGGTGGGTTGCAAAAGTTACACCACCTTGATCTACTTTCCTCTTCTCCGCCCGAGCAATTCTTGTCGGTGGTAATTACCTCCGGAACGTCCCTAAATAAGTTTTAACCGTCCCGAATTCGATTAGCCGTATCTATCACCGTGGCACGTCTCCAGTACATATTCCGACCGTCCCCGTATCGTCCTCGTGCCCGAAACATATCAGATACTTGAAACGGCCTCCTTTGCCGTCCCCGTGCTTCATAGATAAACATGGATAATCCTTATTCCTAAAAACAAATTTTATATAATTTATGATAAAAAAAATAAAAACATATAAACGTAAGAAAAATATATCATTTTATTTTTATATATATTTGAAAAAAATGTATTTTAATGAAAATGGGATAATAGGTAGTTTTTATGTATGGATAAATGTTTTAGAAGCAATTAAAAAAATTATATAAAAGTTGACAAGACATAAGTACTCACGTTATGCACAGTTCCATTTATGAGTTGATCGAACAAAATTTATACACAGTGAGCTGAGATGATCTAGTTCCATGTATTCTCTATTGAAGAAGGAAGACAAATGAAGAATTCTCAACAAACTTGAGCTTCAACCAGCTTCGAACCAATCAACCAAATCATCGCCACAGGAACAGATGCATAGTTTTATATTAGTGACAATTTATAAAATTTTAGTAAGGAAAAACAATTTTTTAATAAAAATAAATAAAAATATATGCAAAACATATAGAAATTTAAAATTTTTATCCCCACTACTCTCACTCGATCCATCCTTGATCACCAGCTTCCGGCACCAATAGAGAATAATAACCAAAGTTGAACATATGAGGTGCACTAACGAGCAATTCAATTCCATACCAACCTTAAATTCTGATTTTAGAATTGTCTCAAATTAAAGTGCATATTGAATGTTTTGAAAGTATAAACGCAATATTAAAATTGTTTTTAAAATATAGGGAGCAACGATGTCATTAACGGTAAAATAAGTTAAAGAAAGTAAATAAAAGAAAATTAAGGAAATTAGAACAACAAATTCCTTCTAAATTGGGCTTGGGTTCGAGGGTGCGCAGGGTGTCAGAGAAGGAAATCTCCGGTCTCCTTATCTGTTTGTTTTAGCTTGCCTGGAACTCCGTTGTTTATTTGATCCGGAAGGAGAGGAATGCGGGAAATTTTCAGGGAAAGCAAATGCGTGAGTAGGATTTGATTGTTCGGGTTAAGGAGGGTGCCGTTGGAGGCTGCGGGGGAAGAATGTTAGCAAGATCAACTCTGCTAATAGGGTTTTGTGTACTGAATGGGGATAAGATTGATTGTTTTGTTGGGGTTGCCTGGTGCACTTGTATAGATTTGGGGATTGCTATTGTTTTGTCTTAATTGTTTGTACGTTAGTTTTATTTGTAAATGATTGCTATTTCTGGATAAAAAACTGGGCTTGGGATGGATCGGGTAATTTGGTTTAATGAACAAAGTTCAGCCCTACGCATTTAAAGGAAATAGCCTTTTCTATTATTTACAGAGGAACGACACCGGTTACTCGCTCCATTTAAACCGTAAATAACAACCCTAAACATTACAATTGCGAGCTTCCTTTTTTCCTCCTTAAAACTCAGCTCCTTTATCCTCTGGTTTAAGGCGGCCGCTGCGAAATCTGCCACCGGTGACCTTTTTCTTTCATCGGACTGTTTCTCATTTTTGTTTTTCCCCCTTAACTTTGCGGGGAACACAAAAGTAAAATAAAAATCGAGGAAGAAGGAAGAAACTAAAAACAATGGCACAGCAAGCAGTGCAGAAGAACACGTTGTACGTGGGAGGGCTAGCGGAGGAAGTGAATGAAGCAATCCTCCATGCCGCTTTCATCCCTTTTGGAGACATAAAGGACGTCAAGACCCCATTAGATCAGGCCACTCAGAAGCACCGCTCCTTTGGCTTCGTTACTTTCTTGGAGAAAGAGGATGCCGCCGCTGCCATGGACAACATGGATGGAGCTGAGCTCTATGGTCGAGTCCTCACCGTCAATTACGCCCTCCCTGAGCGGATCAAGGGTGGCGAGCAGGGCTGGGCTGCTCAACCTAGTATGTCCTTTGATCCCTTAGCTTTTCTTTCTTTTATCTCGATTTACTTATCTTTCTATGCGATTGAAAAGTTATTTCTATGGGGTGGTTGGGTTCAGCTTCTAGCTTTGCCACTGGGTTGAACAGTTACGATTATGTTTTTGGAAACTTAGGGTTTAACCGGAGAATTTATTGGGATGATTTGCAATGCGAATGGCTTTTGATCCTTGAAATATGCTCAATTTGAACTTGTGGGTGCATTATGCAAAAAGAGTCCGATAGGGATGTTGGGTTTATCTGAATATATTTTGGGTCTTAAAGATGGAAAATTTATTACTCCGAATGTTGTATTTCTGGTATCCGTAGTTAAGATAACCCTTCCGATCAACAACTTAAAGGAATTTGTTTGAGTAAACTATACTATGTGATCATTTAACTATGAATAGATTTCAATCTGATCAAGTTACATGCATTAACATTTTGCAGAGGAGCTGACGTAGTTAACAAAATTGGTATACCTACGTATATGTAGTTTACCTTTTTGTTTTAAATGAGAAGTTCCTCCTGATTGGTTTCATACATGCCTTAAGACTAATATGTTTCCTTGACATGATAATTATATGGTTAGGAAACGTGATTCTGTGCTGTAGACAGTGTTAACAGACTCTTTGTTTTTTTGAAGTACTTTGTTCAACACCTATGTCGGGCATATGTCCTTTTATGGGACTCTCTACTTTTTTTACGAGTACTTTGTTTGATGCCTATGTTGGGAATATGTTCATTTATGGGAATAGGGGAATGATCCTCCAAATCTATGGAGAAACTTAGAACAAAAATTGATCATATTCATGTCAGCCATGTACTGAATTTGACACTCATCCCCTAGTCTGGATAATTCAGGTCCTAGACTTTACATGATTGTTTTGGCTTATGATAGAGTTTGTTTTGTGCCTTTGATACAACATATTCAATCGTTTTTCGTTAAATATTTGCTTCCTGTTCTATGACCAATTAATTGCAAATTTTGTCTTGGCCATTTACTTCAGATTAACCCCCTTTCCTTTTTGTACAAAATGCAGTTTGGGCTGATGCCGACACATGGTTTGAGCGGCAACAACAAGAAGAAGAAATGCAGCGCCTTCAGGCAGAGAACCAGGCTGCAATGCGTGCTGCAGAGGAGTTGCATAGGAAGAAATTGGCAGAGGAACGACAAGGGGAGAAAGAGGACGACTCAGAGATGAAGGATGATCCAATGGCAAGGGCTGAAGCCGAAGTTTTGAATCAGGGTTAACTAGTTTCTTTGCTATTAAATTGAGCAATCAATACTTTAAGAAAAACATTAAGGTTGTCATTTAGGTTAACCAACCTTGATGCAATCCTCAAGTCCAAGGCCTTAGGCATGCTTTGGCCGGCCCCTGCTACGGGGTATATACTCGACTCCTAATCTTTTTGTTTGTCTAAAATGGTGGTTTATAAGGTTAGTGGACTTAAAAATGTTGTGTTTAACTTGGAATTTCTTCAAACTAATCGTATATTGTAATATGTCAAAACTGGATTTTAGGAACTTAGTTGTACCCAATCATATCACGTGTATATATAGACGGTTAAGTTGGACTATCACATCAAAATTGAAATGATTAAAGAAGATACTATTAATCAAAATAAGACTTATTTAAGGTAAGTTATACCGTACGACGGTTTTAATATACGGTTAAGAAATGTGTAACGGTTTTATTATTTTTTTTAAAAAATCGGTAAATATTACCGGAAACATTATGATTTCTACCCAAAACATTATTGAGCGCTTTACCGAGATATGGAATAGTGATATGAAATTTGTAAAAATATATAAAATATATTACAATTAAATAAAGTTTATATTTTAAGACTTAATTTTTAATTTTATAGCAAGTGCTTACAAGAAATTTTGAAAAAAAAAATGTATAATTTGGAGAAGAAATTCCAACTGCCTAAACAGCAGTGAAAACATAATATACATCTTAAAATTCTTGATGATCATTTTTCATTCATACTTTGTTATCCAGACAAATATTTCATCTCATCCTAATCTTACAAGCCACAACTACACTGACCAACCTAACTATTGATATCTAATCTCATAAAAAAAATCAGGCAAATGTAGCTCTTAACTATTGATATCCTAACACACTCCAAACTTGGTAACCCAATAAATATACAGTACAAAAACAACAGCAAACGAGCTCACAACAGAATCCTCTACAGCCCAAAATCATCACTTGCTGTCTGGAATACTCGTTGAATCGATCAATCAGGTAAAATTTGCTCACCATCTGCATCTGCTTCAGTCTCAACCTTGGGTTTTGATGGAGCTTGTCCAGGAGCTTGCTTCTTCTTAATCCCGCTTACTATGTCATCGATCCTTAGAAGCATGCAAGCTGCTTCTATGGCCGTCTTAAAAGTTGTGCCTTCAATTGTATGCATCCCATATCTGGCCAAAAACCAAACATCATGTTTGATATTACTTACTACATTCAAATATGATCATTGCAAAAAGAGAATTGAGACGATCAAATTATCCGTCCTTTTTCTCTAACTAATTGTAAAGAAAAGAGAATGGAAACACAAGGGTTGTTAATTAAATCAAAAACCAATTGGATGACATGCATTTTCATGTTAAATATACCTTGCGCTCTTTCATGTCAGCAATAGCACCGGTGTTCCCATCTATGCCAATCCATGCATTTTCACCATTTGCATGCTATAAATCACGGGTAGAGGATACAGAAACAGAAAGGATAAGGGTTTCTTCAAAAGCATAAACTGTACTCTAGAAACATTCATACCTTTCGTTGCAGGGCAGTCATGGATCGAATCACATTAACCCCACAATTCTGTGCCAAAGTACGTGGTATCGCTTCAAAAGCAATGGCGGCAGCTTCATACGGCCATTGTCACATATCCAGTGAATATAAAGAAAAAGAAAACAAGCTGGCATTGATGTAACATATCTAACAGGGTTGCAAGTATATATTCAAATATCAAAACACCAAATCATGTAAATCAATTAATCAAGTTCTTCATTAGTGCATCAAGTACCTTTTCTATGCCTTCAACAGATGAACTCTTCTGCTTCAAAGTGGCAGAAACTGTCAACTCTGTAGCACCACCACCAGGAACAAGTTTTGGATTCTTGATAATGTTTCTTGCCACAGACATGGCATCCAGTAATTAAAACATACCTCAGAACTTTGACCTGAATAAAGAAAACAAGCTTCAGAACTTAATTCCATGTAACAAACTGAAGTTGCAACCAAATCAGTTACCTGCAAACTTCTTTCCACCTCATTCAAGAGATCCTTACTAGCACCTCTTAGAAGAACTGTACATGCTTTTGGATCTTTGCGATCAACAATGAATGCAAAGAACTCATCCCCAATTTTTTTAACCTCAAACAGTCCAGCTCCAGTACCAACATCAGATTCCTGCAATTCATCAGGTCGATTCACAATAACAGCTCCGGATGCCTTGGCAATTCTATTGTTGTCTGTCTTTCTCACCCTCCTAATTGCACTTACACCATCCTTGCTAAGATAATGGCATGCCAAATCACTATGTCCTTTTTCTGTAATCACAAGGTCTGGTTTAAATTTCAGAATCTGCATGCAAAGGTTCTCAATGTATTTTCTTCCATTTTCAACAGAACTTCCCAATCTTCTTCCCTAACCAACTCTGCATTTGTTTGGCTCTCCCCTTTCTTATACTCAAGGGGACAATCAAGGAGAATAATACGTGGATTGACAATCTTTCTTTTCATTTTCCCAGGTGCAACTACATCTTTATTGATCATCACTCCCTTGAGCACTTAGAATCTTCCAATTGTCCACCGGGTACTTTCTCTACTTTAATGTACTTTCTAATGTCAACTTCTCGCAGCCCTTGGCCAAGGACAAGTCCGACAGTTGTAGTTGCATCAATTGCCAAATCCTAAAAGTTAAACAATCAAGTAGCTGAAAAAGTATGATACAGGTGTGGAAGTTCATCGTTATCACTTCTATTTTGAATAAAATCAAATGATTATGAAAAGTGAGAAAATGCTTTGCACAAAATATAAATGATTGCTAAAGAGAACTTCCGCGCTATATTGCAGCAAAACTGAAGAAAATATAAAGTAAGAAACTGAGTTGATGAACAGCAATTTTCATTTATTCAGATGTGATATGTAAAAAAGCCATTGCACAAGCTAGCCTGTCATGCTCTTGTTTTAGTAGGGATATTGTCTTGGACAGTTTCAATCACTAGATGCATAGTATCAGAGTTAAGTGAAACCTAATAAACAGCATATGAATAAAAACAAAATAAAAAGGGGGGAAATGAAAGAAGACGAGTAATCTAGACAGACACATCATTTTTTTACTGGAACAAAAATGGCAATAAAGATTGTTATTTATTTATTAATTTTTTTATATATAAATTACATTTAAAAACAGCTTAACGGACACTATCTATGTTATAACAATTATTATACTTGTGTCAACATGACAGTGAATTTGGGTGCAGAATACCGGTTAGTAACTTAAATATGTTTAAAACATTGGATGAATTACTTAGCTTGTTTTTTGTTAATTTGATTTTTTTGTCGCAACATATGCAATAGCATAGTGAAGGAAGTAGTGGAAGGAAAATCTCAGAATCTTTGGGAATCTGTGGCTTAAATGATTGCATAAAAAATCTTCACAAATCACCCTCAGATATCTGCTGTTCGCGTGTAAGTTCAGAAGCCTCATGCTGCTGTTCAGGGTTCTATCGACTACCTTGGAGTTGAAGATTTAAGAGCATTGATGCTTCTAACTGACCTTCGACATATATATATATCATGATTCATGTATACATATAAATTATAGAACGATGTATAATATAACGAAACAAATTGGGTTGGGAGGGCCGCATTCGCCTATGCAGTACGTGATCTGGATTAGTTAATCAATAAATCAAATACCGATGGTTATACCCAAAAAAGTTGATACTCAAAATTAACTACGTTCAAATATTATTGAAAAATAAAATATGCTTAAACCCCTTCCATCTCAAACTAAGCTTAATTAAATTATTACTTCCATCTGGATTTTAAAAATTGTATGTAAGTTAATTACTTTCTTACTACCTTCTTCCCCTGTATTTAGACACACACACATATATATAAGATGAACAAGGGAAATACTTTCTATTACTGCAATTGGAGAATAGGGGGGCATAACACGTTTCAAAGTGCTGCTGTTGCAGTTGCTGCTGCTGCTGGGCGTCCTTTGTCCGCCTGACTCAATCATTTGATATTGAACGTTCGTACCCTTCACATTTATAATGCTCGAACCTGAATCTTCAAATTATAGTAATAATTTATTTACCACCGATTCCATTTGATTCATACCTAATTTAAGTTCAATTAAAACCGCAGTTCAAATAATTGTTAATAAAAAGATAATAAATAATTATAAATATTTGACTAAATTTCCATCTTTCCTACTAATGTTTTAAAAATAATGATTTATAAAATCTATCATTCACTATTAACAATAAATAACGAAAAATTAATATGACACATCACATTGACTGTCCTTTGACTCTATAAAAAGAATTTATTTTTTCACACAATAAATGTTTATTTATATCATTATCGATAACTCTCCTCTCCTGGAAAATATTTGGATTGCATACTATTCTTTTCTTGGTGACTTATCATTTATGGTTTCCCTATCGAATCTTAAACCATCTCACGGGGACTGTCATCGGATTCAACGCTGTCAACTGCAACTTTTGATTATAATTTATATGTGAGTGGTCACAATATAATCTCATGATAGACGCAATAATTAAAATAAAGTCTACTTATTTTATTTATGAAGCTCTAATATCTTTTCTCGGAGGCGAGCCAATTTATACAAGTAGACTGTTGAACTGGTAGAGATTGATTAGTGCTAATCTTTCAGCCATTCAACATAAAAACAAAATGCAACAAACCATAACAGACTCAATGACAAACATTAATAGACCTTAATGACTCTCTAAACATATTTAGACCAGCTGAGGCTCTCTGTCTCACGCTTACAATGCATTTAGTTTAGTCCCATCTAGTGGAGATCCTGGTCATGAGTCCGTCCTTGGTGTGCAGGATAATGGATATGGCCGGAACAACAGGAGTTTCTTCCGATACATGAATGCGATAGTTGTAAACTATAGAAGATACCACAGCTTTCATCAGAACAATCGCCATTTCCTTCCCTAAACACGCCCTTGGCCCTGCACCGAAACATGGGAATTTGTACGATGGCTCACGTTTAATCTCTCCTC